CGGTGCGATGGGCGGAGTCGCGCCGCCTCAAATAGGCGGGGCGACCCCGCCCATCGCGCCAAACGATCGGCTCCCCTGTCGAGGTGCGCCATTCGCACCAGGACGTACATTTGCACTCAGCCTGATTACTGTTCCATTTCACGCAATAGTGCACACATCTGGACAGCTCCACCGATTCCTGTTTCCCTGCAATTTTCGTCTAAACCCGGATTCTACTAGTTTTTAGAACCTAGAGTTTCTCTTAATGCACCTTATTTCATGTTTCCTTCGCAACTTCTGCACTATCCATCACTGTCAATTCTCCTAGTCGTCTAGAACTAAAAAACTCGAATTTATCGTGAACGTGCCTTTAAAATGGATCATTACAACTCGATAACATTGAAAGCATTTTGAGCCTCATCCTAGTATGGAAAATATCCTGACCAAATCCTTATACTATTATTAGGTTGATGCTTAATTTTTTCGACAAATTTTACTTAATAAATGCTTCAAATACTGAACAAAAACATGTTCAAGTAATCACTCCGAAACGTGCCCACCGTCTACGTCGAACACTGCTTCCCTTTTGCTAGGCAGTCGGTTTCCTAAAGCGGAGAGGTTTCGATTATTGGAGGCGTGCTGCGTCTTGATGTCGGCCGTCAAGTCAATCTTTTCATCGTAAGTTCTGTCAGCTTGCCAATTTTTTAACGAATATGGTAGACGTGATAACCCATAGAAGTTTCTATCGGCGAATATGACGGCTTTGGGAGCGGATCTCATTCCTTATGTGAAGATGACTTCCTAGACACACCTCATTAGAGGAAAGCGAGAAGATTATTCCTACAAAAATCCCGAATTCAACATTCAAATTCTATTGAAAGAAAAAAACGCTAGAAAATCCGCAAAAATTATGCATCAATCTAATACTTTGGGCTAAAAACCTAAGCTACTTAGGAGATTCAAACCGATAAGGTTGAAAATGACTGGAACAAACCTCAGCAAACATCAAACAACACCGTTCTGCAACAAATCTCGGAAAGTTCAATCAAGGCCATTTTCGGTAGAAGCACATGGCCATTAGTGTAACAGACAACCTGCAACAACCTGCGAATTTTCTGACTATTTCCCTTAAAGTTGACGACCCTGGAAATGTTTTGGCCAACTCATAGCTTAGCTTTTTCTAGTAGTATGAAAAGGGAGAATAAAATATAGGAGTATAAATCCTACTTTCAAATTAATTTCTTGCAGAAAGTAAAGAAACATCGAGGGTCTGGTGGAAATGGCAAAAGAAATACTTGAAGAAGGAATTAGGTAGTGTTGGTGTACAAGTTGATGAGAAAGTAGGAAAAAGGAAGTGGATGAAGTAGGAAGTCTCTATGATTCCGAGCGATATCGACTGGCGTGCTATGGATCAATAACATCCAGAGAATCCGGAGATTATGTTCGATTATCGTAGATCATAAAACTGCCACAGCCATGACCCATTCTCATAAAGCTTACTGATTTTCGATGAGAATGACCTGTTTCCACCCTTATAGGGCTGACTATTCCGCTCAAAATTTGTTAAACAGTTAGTTCGCGTTTGAGTACTTGACGCTAAAACCTATATTTAGCGAAATGGCTTCAGAAATCTGCGAGAGATATATCCTTTTGCAGATATGAGAGGAAAGGGCTCTATCGCTAAACTATGGTGGACGGAACATTCGTGCGATTCGAGCTGCGCCGGCAAGTTGCGCGGCGAAATCTATAGAAATTTTGGCGACTTTAGCACCTACTATTGGATCCCAAATGTGAAGTAAGGTATATTAGTAGGATCAGCTGACCATACAATCTACTCTACTTCACGTTTGGAACCAATAGTAAGCGCCAGAGTCGTTCGAATCGCCACGAATTCCGCCGCGCAGTTTGTAGCGTGCGCTTCGAATCGTACGAATGTACCCATACCCCTAATCTATGCCACTAACCACAGTCTAACATCAACGGGTTCTTACTTCATCCTCCTTGTTTCTCTGTAAAAAACAGCTCAATCAGCAACAAATGATAGAAGCTGTATGGTTTCCATCAACATGAGGTAAATATGGGAATGACTAGGTGCCAAGTAATCAGCTCTACAAATTCTGATAGTACAGTTTCCAGGTGCCTTTGACTCCACGGTCAGGCGATTGCTGTGGATGATTTTATCGAAAAGATTGAGGTGACGGCTCGAGTTTATCGCTAGCTGGCTGCAGGAAAAGGGAACGTGTTCGCTAGGTAAACATAGAGAATGAGAGAGCTAATGAGAATTTGAACTGAGTGAAGAGAGTGACCATCACTTCCTATGTTGCTTACAAGTTTGTTCGTCAACAGATATAAAGCATCCCAATGTTCAGTACACGTCAAAGGCATCAACAATTCCCTTCTTTTTCCTGCTCCTTAGAGCTGGAAACTGTACTATTTGGTTCCATACTACTCTTCTTATTTCTACTCTTCTACTTGACTTGATCTTTTCTTTCCTTTTGCGATTAATTTTCACTCTTTCTCACACAACAGACCGTATTTACCCATTCTTGTTTTGTCATCACTTAGTCACTGACGAGCCTCGGGTGATGACAGATTTTGGTTCGTATGACTAAGAGGCGAAACGAACCGAAATATTTATGTAATTTTTAATACTACCTGACGTAGGAATAATTCTTAATTAGTGTTTACGAATTGTAGTTCTTCATGGCTTATTGGACTTGTACGACTAGTTGCTCCGTTATTTCAATATTTATTTATGTTGATGTAAACCGTTACAGCTCTTGACACTTGCTAATTACTGAGCGTATTTATAAAAGTTATGATAGATAAAGTAAAAGCCTGGTTAATATTGTAGTGTGAATAACTGGGGGGACGGAACATTCACCCAGAACTGGATGGACGCGGCAAATGTCGCGGCG